AAAAAAAAAAAAACTAGTCATCAAGAATAAACAAAAAAGCCTCTCTATTTAGGTTCAAGAATCATGCAAACAGTTAAAATTAAATACCAGCAGAATCATATCCTCTGTACTCCAATCTCTGAAGGCCTCTGATTAGTGTCTCCAAAATTTCTCGTCTTGTACGAGGGACATGGTAGTTTAAGTAAGCAAATATACCTGCAAAAAAAACAAATATTTAATGGAAAGTTCTGACCAAAGAATGAAAATTAACATACTTATGACAGATTTCTTATTTGCACAATTGTCTTCAATGTGCCAAAATGTGAAGCTAAGTCAACATTTATTTTTTTTTTAAGACTTATTTATCTATGCACACAGATCTGGGGAACAGGCCAGAGGTGAGGGGTAGGGGAGGGGTGAAAGATCCACCAGAAACAGAGTGATAGAACAGACAGACTGATAAAGTACACTGCTGAGGGAAGCAGTGGTAAGACAAGAGGGGTCTGCCATGCCACGTGGGTCACCTCCATGGCCAGGATCAAAATTGTGCTGTGGCTAGCTTTGGAATACTAAAATTTAACTTGATGCGCCACCAGAGGGCCCGTAGGTCCTCCTTTAAACATTAAAGAATTCTGGGCTCTCCCTCGTGGCACAACAGGTTAAAGCATCACATTATGAAGCTCTCCAAAGTGAGGCCACTGCAGCACAGGTTCGATCCCTGGCCACGAGCTGACCCACATGCATGGCAGACCTCTTCTGACCCACCCGCTACGCCCCTCAGCAATGTATTTTGTCAATCTGCCTGTTCTGCTCCCCACTCTGTCTCTGGTGAATCCTCTCGCCTACCACACCTCTGACCTGTACCCCAGTTCTGTGAGCATAAATATTTATAAAAAATAAAATAAAGAAATCCTTACTTAAAAATTGTTCATTGGCAGTGAAACTTTTTCAAAAAGGAATTCCTCATAAGTACGCCTTTTTCCAAAGAAGCTTATAAGACTATTCAATTCTATCACTATCATTTTGTCAAGTTTATTTTATAATTAAGCAACAAATACGTGGTTTATGTCCTACATACTGATCATTATCATCTTCTGAAGTAGTATTTTATGTTATAACAAAATTTTCCCTGCTTCCAATGATCACATTTTTCAAAAACATTTAGGAATAAATAACTTATGAATACTAGTTATATGAAGAATATTGACAACCTAAGTAACTTAATAATAGGGGAAAATAGATTATAAATATATAATTATCTGGGCATTATGAAGCTCTCTGAAGCCATTGCAGCATAAGTTTGATCCTCCGCCAGGGAGCTGAGCCACATAGTGTGGCAGACCTCTCCTAACCCGCCCGCTGCTCCCCTCAGCAGTGTATTTCAGTAGCTCTGTCTGTTCTGCTCCCACTCTGTCTCTGATAAATCCTTTCACTCACCACACCTCTGGCCTATACCCCAATTCTGTGACCATAAACAAATTAAAATATATATATACATATATATATTCTTAAGAGAAAATAGTTTAAATCACTTGTTCATCAGCTATTTGCAGTAGACATCCATGATACATATTAACAACACTTACAAGTTCACAGAAAGCAACACTCATTTGGAAAAAATAAAACTAGAAATAAAAGAACTAGCGCAATGTGAACTGAACAAAAAGCAAAGAGGTAACAGAACACAGGTGAAGAAAGTTTTCCAAAGTTTTCCATGATCGCCCTTTTTCAGAGTGAATATAGAGCTTAAATGTATAAAAACTGAAGACAGGCCCTCCCTGGTGGCTCACTGGATTAAAGCACAGCACTGCAAGCAAGCCACAGTCACTGCAGCATGAGTTCGATCTGGCTCAGGTGATGATCCACATGATGAGGCAGACCTCTCCTGATCTGCCTACAGTGTACTTCCTCCATCTGCCTATTCTGCTCCCTATTGTTTCTGGTGAATCTTCTCACCCCCCTGTATCTCTGGCCTGTACCCCAATTCTGTATGAATAAATAAATCTTTAAAAAAAAAAACTGAAGACAGAAATTAAGTTCAATCTGCTTGCTTATGTAACAACTTCCCTTTTCTTAATTAGATTATACTATAAAACCATTAATTAATAAAGGGATTAAATTAAGTCTATAGGGTAGCACTCCATTTGAAAAGGTATCTTTGTTTCTTTAAAGAGCTTGGTCCCATTGAGGTATTTCAAAATATAAAAATTAGACTGTTTAGAACAATGAAATGTTTTTAAAGTAGAATTCATGCTCCTCAAAAAAAAAAACAAGGAAATATATGTTTTAAGCTAAAGTCCTAAACAATTTCTAACAACTGTGTGAACTTTCCCAAAACAGACAATACAAAGCCAAAGGCAAACAGGTTTCCCCCACTATCTGAAAGTAGAACATTTTCATTTGTTATGGTCTGGTGTTGAACATCTCATTTTCACTGTACGACAATGAGAGCTAGGGGTTTTTGTTATTATTGTTGTTCCTTCATAAAGTATTTGTAATATGAATAAATGAAACCAATATAATCTTATTGCAAATCAAACTAATTTTTTAAAGATTTATTTATTTATGCATACAAGAACTTGGGTGTAGGCCAGAGGTTGGGGATGAGGGAAGGGGAGAGGATTCACCAGAGACAGATGTACTGAAATACTTTGCTGGGGGGAGCAGCAGCAGGGCAGGAGAGGTCAGCTTCGTCATGTGGGTCAGCTCCTGATGGAACTCATGCTGCAGTGGCTGGCCAGCTTGAAAGCCCTGTCTTTAACCCCTAAGTCACCAAAGAAGCTCCATAAATATAACGTCTATGTGTTCTACACTCCCCCCTCCCCTAATCCACCTCCTGTTGGTGCCATGGGTCACTGACATTTAATAAAGATAAAATGCACATCTCCCTGGTGATGCAAGGGATTAAGTATCAGCCCTATGAAGCTATCTGCAGCCACTGTAGCATGAGTTTGACCCCCAGACAGGGAGCTGACCCACATCGCATGGCAGCCTCTCCTGTATTGCCTGCTGCTCCCCTCAGCAGTGTATTTCAGTCAATCCACCTGTTCTGCTCCTGACTCCGTCTCTGGTGAATCCTGCCCCCCAGCTCTTATATGCATAAATGGGGTGCTCTGGCCTATACCCCAGCTCTTGGATGCATGAATACATAAATCTTTTTTTAAGAAAAATAAAAGCAAAAAGATTAAATGCACACAGAAAGCTATAAATCCCAAATAAGTACTTGTATTTTATTAAAAGACAATACACAGAAAATATATCTTTCCCCAAAATAATACATAACACAAATGTGCTAAAGAAAACTGAGTCGCAAAAAAAAAGAAAGAAAATTGAGTCTCAACTAGTACTGTCCACCACTAGGACTAGCATTAAATAATCTGCTAAAGGAGAATGCAATCTAGCTATTACAACAAATATTTTTTAAAAACATTACATTACCAAAAATTGATTCCAGTCTCAGGTGCTCTGAAAAGCCCTAAGAGGAAGTCCAAAGCTACCAAATACCAACAATATAGCACATGTAGAAAAAAAATCACTACTGAATCATCTCTCTTTTCTAATTCTGATAGAAAAAGAAATAGTAATGACATAAAACTTTATTAAGACTTAATACATTTTGAAAAGCAAATTCACAGTGATGTAATATTAAATTCCATGTTTTCAACACAAGTAACTTAACAGCATTCAATTTTTTTGACATTATTTTGAACTTTAATCTTCTTGGTTTTATACTGGTTCACCTTGAGATCTTGAGTATAATTTCACCGGGAAGAGATCTTCTATACCAATAGCCATCTTCAAACAAACATAAAAGTGTAGCTATTTGATAAACTAATAAAACTCACAGCAAATATTTGTTATCACTTTAAAAAAAAAAAAAAAGTAGGCCCTCCATGGTGGCGCAGCGGGTTAAAGCACAGCACTGAGAAGCTAAAGCCACTTCCACATGAGTTCGATTCCCGCCTGCCCCGGAGGTGACCACATGGTGTGACAGACCTCTCCTGACCCGCCCGCTGCTCCCCTCAGCAGTGTACTTTGTTGATCTGCCTGTTCTGTACCCCGCTCTGTCTCTGGTGAATCCTCTCACCCTCCACATCTCTGGCCTGTACCCCAGTTCTGTATGCACAAATAAATAAATCTTTAAAAAAAAAAAAAGTAGTGTTGCATTGAAGAAAAGCCTTTGTGTTATTTTAACTCATGTGTGTTCCCAAAGGTTTTCATTGTATCGTCCTATCTCAGCTTCCCCTTCTGTGAAATAAAGGTTTGATTGAGATGGTACAATAGATTGCACAGCAAGTATCAACAAGCTATTAAATGGTAGTGGCTGTAAGAGAACGTAATGACCAAGGATTCCAGACACTGTTTCCTAAACAGGAAGGAAAGCCATGATTGATTAGCAACTGCCGCTACATGGGGGGCAATACCAGCACAAGGGCCACATATTTCTTACCTCTATAATATGAGAACATCTACAGTCCCCTCTGGCTTGACAGTCTATAATTTCTGAGGCTTCACTGGTTGCTTTAGAGACATTACCAATGAATTTTACTTCTTTTCTGGACCTCTTTGTTACATGTACTTGAATTTGGTAAATACAATATACACAGTGTATTTATGTTTTATTATTCAGTGTATATTGTATCTACCAAACTAAAACTGGAAATGTAGTAAAGTACCTTATTGTTTTCAAAGCATATTGTTCATAAAAGCAAACGATAATAAAAAAAAATGAAGATTTTTTCTACAAAACTGTATTATACCTAATATAATATTTATATTCAAATTTTCTGTATTATCAAAACAACTGTCTTTTACAGTGGACTTGTTCATTCTAGCATATAATAAATGAGTGTGGCTCATTTTTTATTGTTATGTCTTTTTAGTCTCTTGAAATCCATAATGTCTCCACAACTGCCCTGTTTTCCCCAAGACACTGATACTGACAAGTCCAGGCCAATTTCTTGACACTTTCATCTTCCAGCCATGTTTAATTATTTCCACACTGTGGTCTAACCAGTTGCTCTATTCCTTATACTTACTATAAACTGCTAGATCTAAAGGTTTGCATAAATGACATTAAAAATTTGGAGCAAGAATTATCTATAAGAAAGTGTATGTGTTTTATGTTTTCTGTTGGTGACCTACTAATGCTGCTAAGACTTATCACTGATATAAGGTAAAGACAATCAGATTACTTAGCCTATGACACTGAAAGA